CCCATAATTGCTGTATACGTGGAATCAATATCTGAATATACGTTATTGAATATACCACAGGTTTGAAAACGTCGGGTGGTTTTGGTTGCATTTTGGCTCATTGCGTGGGCTTAGGTAAAACGGTACAAGTAGTTAGCCATCCAAATATGTAGTTTGTGCTCTGCCCATAATCACCTTACAGAACTCCAACGCAGAGTTCGATGTTTGGGTTGCTAAAATGTCTGATAGTTCCGAATTCATCAGGGCGAGGAATTTCAAAGTGTTTGTCTTAAATGACGAAAATATTCAGAGCTGGCACTCGTACAATATTACAAAGACGGTGTTTTATTGATCGGTTATGAAGTATTTTGTTTGATGATGCTAAAACTTGGCGCAACGGAAAAAGGCACAGTAAGAAATCTCAGCTAAGAAATGGCGAATTGACGAATCCCTTCGTTTAATCTATGAAATTTACGAGGAATTACCTAGATTCACGTACTGACACCGATTATCAAGATAAAACTTAACAAGCTTGACCAAAGCCAAAGTAAGAACTTAGAGAAATCAAACATGAGCTGGGAAGCAGGAACAGTTTCCGGTAAGATCAATTTTCTGTTCTAGTAGTTACATTAATGCATAATATAATATAATGTTTTTAATATAAAGGTTGAAGTCCTTATCGTTTTTGTATAACATATACTATGTATATATGTATAATATCGGTATTATTTTTTGGTAAAGGTAATTAAAAAAAATTTGCTGCGTCATTTTCAGCTCCATTTTACAAAAAATTTTTTTTCCACTTATTTTCTTACCGAAAAAAGTGGTTAGAAATTTATTGCAATAGGAAACATTGATCTACTATGAATTGATCTACTTTTGTCCGTCCGCATTATTTTGTGCGTTCCACCTACAGATCGCAGTTTTTGAAATATTTTGATGACACTTACACGTGTTGGTGCAGGAAGGAGCGGTACGAACATGGTTTGGGTGAGACCAATTTTTTGACTTTTTTGATTAGCTGTGATGATGTAAGTCATTTAACTGCAGACCGTATCCCATTATAGTTTCGCTTTTCAAAATAAATCGTTGAACGCGGATAGGTTGTGAAAATGGTTCGACCCAATTCTGCTTCCACGGATTAGGTTTATATGCTGCTCGAGATGTGGAGAAACAAACTATGATTTTTGAGTACATTGGCGAAATTGTACGAACTGAAGTTTTAGAAATTCGGGAGAAACAATGCGAAGCGAGAGTATGTCCAAAAAAGAAAAAAATTAAATAATCAAATTAATGACGTGATCTGCACTGTGTCAATTTTTATGCATTACAGAACAGAGGCCTTTATTTGTTTCGAGGATCGTGTCCTTGATGCAGCTTTGTGCGGCGGCTTAGCGCGCTACATAAATCACTCATGTAATCCGAATTGTGCAACCGAAATTGTGGAAGTCGATCGGGAATTGCGTATAATAATATTTGCTAAACGCAGAACTAATCGTGGGGAAGAGGTATATTTTTCAATTGCTTTATTTTAATAAGTATTCTTGCGTTTGAACGACGATGTGACTGTATTGCCCTGATAGTTGTCATATGATTACAAATTCGACAACAACAAAGTCGATGATGGCAACAAAATATCGTGTATGTGTGGTGCACTTAATTGCCGGAAAGGTATGAACTAATCATAATTTTTATTTTTCGACTTTTTTTGATTAATTAAGCTTAAAGTTATATGTATTCACATGTATACATATCCAATTTGATAGGCGACATTGTGGCATCTGCACAAAATGGGGAAAATCGGCCATGCCTACCTAACGTTATAGTATATCGAAATTAATTTTTTTTGTCAGTACCGCAATAACGCGCAAAAGCAATCTTCATCAACCCCATTAAGTGCGTCTAATTCTCTTTTCACACAATTTATTTTACACGGAAGTTGATCTGATGAACTGGGTTTATATTTGATCAATTCTTTTCTTAATATTTGTATGAATTTTTTCATTCCCGATCCTCATAAATATCCATTGTAACTTCGCCTTATATTTTTCACTATTCAGTTAGAATATGCCGATATGAGTGGGAACCCCCGAATTACGCCTGTAGATAAGGTCGTAATGTATTTTTTACGCAATTTAGTTTGGTTTTTCAATGTATCGTTTGTTTTTAATTAATTGATGAAATGAAATTTGTAAGCAGAAAACTGAACGCTATAAGAATTTTTGAATATCGTTTATTGCACTTGCCAGCTACCTTTTTAGGTATCGACCAATCCACTATTTTTTCGTTTAGCCAACTTCCTTTTACACGAATTTTTTACACGAACGTATCAATCGTGTAAAAAGAAAATTAGGTGTATATAAATTCCTGGCCAGTTTGAAATGCACCTAACTATGACCATCTACTCGTCTGTCCAGCTGTGTACCATCTATGGTAAACATTCTCTCGATCCAAACCGGTTAAAGAACGCGCCTACAACGCCCCCACACCTATGCAACAAAAACTGTGAATACTATTGCTTTCCATGTTTTTTGCTTGTTGCTCGTAAAATTTCCACATTCAATAGGATTCGTTCCTCGGCCAAACTCTCCCTGCATATCAAATCGCGGGCTTTATGTTGAACATACGAATCATACGCAGACATCAGAATCCATGAAAAATGATTCCGAATTGAACGGTATAATAAAATCTGCCTACAGACGTACATTCTCAGTTGCAGATATTATATGGAAGTATAATTCCGTAAAAAACTATTAGATAAAGTAAGCTGAAAGGAAGTCTTTACTAAAAGCTGATATACAAAACAAGCTGAAAAAGAATTTCCTTACCATCAAGCCACTTGCCGAAAAATAATATACCAACCCTTAATATCAAAAAAAAGTTTATTAAATAAAAAAATTGATTTTCTAAATTATTCCTATTGCAATTTATTTTCTTTCTAACATGAAACATAATTTTCGTTTATTTTTTTTGAAAACAAAAATTTTATATATATTAGAAAACTAATTACAGACTTGGAAAAACGCAGTGTATATTACTGGATGTCTTTTTTTTTATTACACAATTCCTGAAAAAATTTGATTAATATATTTATATGAATCTCTTACGTGTATATACTTATTGTTCTAAAAGTGTCTTGAATTTTTGTTGCTGTTGTTTTTGTTTTTTTTTTTTCAATTACAAATACATTCAACTAGAGTTAACTACTTAAATACTAGTGCATTTAACAATTTATATGGGTATGTTGTTGAAGTGATGAGTAGGTGGTCAGATCATAGACAGGGGTTTTGGAATAAAATATTTTTATGATTTTCTTTTAAAGGAATATTTACAAACAAAAAACTTGATGATTTAAAAATAATAAGCTCCCTACACAAGAAATAATTATATTTGTATTATTATTTGCTTGAAGGTTTCTTATTTTATTATACGAGAAATTTTTCAAATTTAATTATACTAAATTTGTTCTTTTTTTTATTCTTATTCTTCATACTGTGAAAATACAGTATACATATGTGCATATATATGTGTGTTTGTCTGTTACTTTTAAGGTATCCAGGCCTTTTATGTATATTTACGTTAAGTATAAATCCTTTTTCATTTTCATTTTTTGCTAAAGCGAAGTATAGTGTAATATGTTTTAAAAAAGATGGCAAAAAGTAAAAACAAATATAAACATAATATATGTAACGATATAGTTTAACATAAAATACAATTTGTCTAATCTTTTATTTTACTTTAGCTATTCTAAATTTAAAAGCTAATTTATTAATTATATTTTATTTAAACTTATTCAAAAGGTACCTACTTTGCTTCTATGTGATTAAGAGCCTGAAACATAGAAAATGATATCACACTGAATAAAACAGAAAAATGAGACCTTTGACTGTATCCAAATATTGATAAACAACAACACTTAAAAAAATTAAATATTTGATTAATAAGCCATAAAATTTGCAGAACAAATTCTCCTTAGCGTGACTCTTCAATTTCTGACAATGAAAGCCGCAAATATTTCATAAGTTAAATTCAATCCACACCAGAGACGAAAATATACCAGCATCTCTAGTTGAAGGTATTACGCTAACTTGAAACGGAAGCTTTCATTATAAGGATATTCCAAAAGTTGATAATACAAGTCTTTTCTTAAAGACATTCTTAAGGGACTATTTGAAACAAAAAGGCAAAAACGCTATAATCGGACCCGGCCTGCTATTAAATACCCTAAACCGCTTCGTTTAATACAGCTGTTTATGTGACTTTTAGAAATAAGACTATGGGGAAGTAATCGAAAAAGTGGTCCGATCCCAACCACGTTTTCAATAGGTTTCGTCCTCGGGCCAAACCGTACTAGTGTATCCAACTTCATGAAAACATCTCAAAAATTAAGACTTATAGGTTGAGCACAAAACGATGGTTGGACAGACATGACGCTGAATCGATCGGTATAATAAAGGATGGGTCCATTTCAAGTCCTTTTGGGTGTTGCATACATGCGAATAAATGTAATGTACCACTGTACCACAGTATTTATAGCATGTATTTTGGAAATGGATTAAAAGTCTGCTCGAAAAATGTGTGGATATACTAAAGGGCGCAATAGTGGAACACGGCACACTTATTTCTGTAATTGTAAATTCGTCTTTGGACGAAATTTCCAATCAACGTAGTTATATATATATGTATATATATATACACATGTTCTATATATATACATATATGTTGTATATATACATATATTTATGGACTTTGAAAGTATATTTCAAGTTGGAACTTTTCTTTCTAGTTCTTGTGACAGACGGAGTATTAAATCAAGATCTTACGTTAATCAAGTAATATATAAAATTAATTTTTGAATGTTAAAAATAGAAGTGATAAAATTAATAAATCCTCACGCAAGCGTTTAAAAAAAAGATGAAAAAATAATCTCAAAGGTAAGCAAATTGCATAGCAAAACGTTAATGTATATATGTATATATTTTATATAAATGTAAATGTAAATATAAATGTTAATACATATATTTATATATATATAAATGTAAAATACGAATATTAAAAAACTACGAGAACTAATACTAAAAGATTTTATTTTACTACTGTTTTCAACAGTATCCTCAAAATTAAGGACAAGACCAATAGTTTTCTAATACTTAAGTTCGCAGAGCAATATCACTATTTTTTCTTTTTTTTCATTTAACCTTTTATCATTTTGCTAACAAGAAACTGAAGTTGAAAGAGAAAAGGACAGTATGAGAGAGAGAGAGACAGAGAGAGAGAGAGAGAGAGAGAGAGAGAGAGAAAGAGAAAACCCATATGCAAGAGTATACTTGTGCGCTTATAATCTTGGCAATAAATTTGTATACGGTTCACGCGATCAATCATTTCCCTTTTCTCTCTCTCCCCACCTTTCAGTTATGTTTGGCACGCTTACCAAACATATAACCCTTCCATCGTTCAGCTGTACGTGATATCAAAGGATCATTATCGATCGTAGCTAATAGCAACAATTGATTGACATGCGTAGCATGATAATCCCAACGAGCTAGATTTGGCGCCACGCCTAAAGAAAGGTGCCTCAAGTCATAACTTGTGCCTGAGCCAGTGTCAAATAATAGCAGCATATTTTTTAAAGAGATCATTCCTTGCTGGAAGAATTGCCCAGCTTCATTTGCTATAAACGAAGGCGCTGTTGAATTGAGATCATATAAGCCCAGTAGAGAGTAAATGAATCCATTTAACACAAACGAAGCGGGTGTTGTTGGATATTCTTCATACCTAAATAAAAACGAAAAAAAGTTATACTTATCGAACTTTCAAATTATTTTTCATGGTCACCAAAAATATTTATCCATAAAACGTGCTAGAACGCCTCCACCTTTTGAGAATACACGATATGGCTTTAAGCCCAAAGCTGCTGCTTTTAAGTAACGCTTATCACCGCCTGACTTCCAATAAGCTCGAGCCAAGACTGAGATAGCATGACCTTGGCCCATGGCCGACAACCAGCCTGCCTTTAATTCAGCAAAACCATTTAAACTTCGCCGAACAGGGTTTGGCCAACCTCCCGTATTTTGGTCTTGGTTATTTACCAACCATTCGGCCGCGTCATAAAAATTAGCCATATGATCGTACGTTGACAGGCTTATATTATCGAAAAAACCCACACCCAAAAATGATACGGCCAGTATTCGGAGATCAGTACGTTTAACCCTAATTGGAGATTTTTTCGGGCCATCCAAGGCCATACCTTTCTGCACATCTATGTGCAAATCTCGAGTCAAATGGTGCCATTTGTTTAAAGCTTGCAAACCCAAACCGTAGTAAATATTTTCATCTTGCACACTCAATAATAAGTCAACCGGCACGTAGTGGACGCGATATGTATGTTTAGTTTCACGATTTTCCACTGTTATCATAAGACTACTGCTATTAGTAACTAATAATAAGTCAGCACTTAAAACTAAATCCAATGTCTGATCAATTTCTTTAAGAGCGATGGCGCTATCGAAATCACTGGCAGTTTCATATTGTATAACAGAACTATTGAATTTCGGATGCCAAATACGTGTAAGATTACTAATTTTTGAAGGTAACAACCAGTTGGCTTGAACGCTATCGACATTCTCCAGCATCTAAATTAAAATTAAATTAAAATGCTATACAGCCAAAGTGTTATTTACAGAGAATTTATTATGCACATACCCGTATTCTCGGTTCTGGTTCAGTTAAATTTTTACTATAATGTGACAAGGCAAACTGGGCAATCTGTGTGGGATAAAAATAACCCTTCTTCTCCCATTGCGTACTAACTGGCACACCATCAACGGCACTGATACATTTAACGCGATCTCTTATCTATGATATTAAAGAAAAAAGCGTGGGGAGAAGTTTGCAAGTAAGTGAAGTTGGAACTCACCTCTACGTTATAGTTTTCAAAATACATGAAAACACCACGGGCGTCATATTTCCCTTTGGGTACGTTAATCTTTGCAGTACTATGCATCCATAAAAATTTACTCTGCGCTTGACTATTGCTGTTGCCATCGATTGTCGTTAAAGGGGACGCAGGTGAACTCATTGCCCCCGATATATCAAAATAATGACGCAAAAATGAAAATGGGACGTAAACTTCACGGTTATCCCCATCGCGTTTACAGTGCACTGTGTACTCTTGATTGATGATACACTCAATGTCCTGCAACTCCTGCAAGTTAAAACCGTCGTTCGTAGCTATGCCTCCTCTTCCATCGTCGCTTCCATCTAATTGATCGTGAAGTAGATCAGCATTACCAACAGCATAAAGTCGACGATCCCAACGCTTAACAAGGTCTTGAGGAAAAGTAAATTCCACACAACGCATATAAACGGCAGAAGTTATAATCATAACAATTACCGTTAAAAATAATAAAACTGCTTTTAAGTTTAAACGCATGATTACAAAAACGAAGGGTTCTCGCTAAAAAATGAATAAAAACTTTTTTTTAAATCCACGTCAGAAATGAATAGCACGAAATGTAAGGAAACCAACGGAAATATCATTAAGTTCTGGGTAATCAAAATGGAATCAATTTTTAATTTGTGCACAACAGTTAGGAAAAAAGGTTCATTATTGCTATTGAGGGTAAAAGATCATCAGCTACACACATGAAACTGTAAGACTCGAAAATAAACAGATTAAGTAAGCAACTTGAAGTACTATAGTAGGAAATGATCCATCATTAAATATCCTACATCACGGTATAAATGTGCATATAACGAGTTTTCAAAATAAAGTACTAGCTGGGAAGTGAGCGAAAAAGTGTCCGAATCCGAGACATTTCCAATAGCGTTCGTCCTTGAGCCAAAACACGTAAGTATAGTAAGCTTTTTCAAAATTTCTCAAAAAGTATGACTTGGATATAAGACGGACAGATGGACCGACAAGCGTAGATTTGTATAATAGAAGGTGGGTATATCTCAAGTCCTTCTAGGTGCTGCATACATCCGGGCAAAATTAATATACAATTGTTTTGCAAGTAGCGTAGGATATAAAAGAATATAATTCGCATGGAATCAATTATTGATTTACACCAAAGACTGTAACATATCTTTCTAGCCAAGGAACATTTCGAATAGTAAATATTTGTGTAATCTTTAAATCTTTGCAAGATATACCTTGTTATCCAAGAGCATTTTCCGATGGTTTTCAAAGATTATTTGTCACATTTACAACAAATTAGAAGCAGTGTTTGAAATAAATCTTGGATATCCAACTTCTAAGATATCTTCTTGAGATAATCTCAAATCGATGTATATCTAAAAATCCTACTAAAGCATTTTAAGATCTTTTTGTCGGCCTATTACAGGCGTGGGCTTACTTTCAATTACCTTAAGAAAGACCCTGACTGGCAGATTTACCCATACCGATCTTATTGAAATTGGACGCTGAATAAAAAGCCTGGCATTCACATACCAGAAAAGGGGTCTTAAATACTTCAGCTATATTAAGGAAAGCTAAACATGTACTTTTTAAATGTTGCAAATGGAAAGACACAACTCTGGTAGCGGTTAATAATGAAAAATTGTTTGTAAGCAATCGCCAGATTCAAGTCTTTTCTTTCGAAAATCTGATAGAACTAGAATTTCTACATTTAGCATTTATTTGGCGTAAAGCCAAGTATTATTTTTATATAAAGAGAAAGTAATACAACGTCTTACAAAAAAAGGAAAACAAGAAGCGATCAGTGTAAGGAAAAGGGCTATTTTTAGTTGTGCGTTTGACAACAAATTATGAATTTGTGCGAAAAGCAGAAGTGCTTAGCTTTGCGATGTTTTCCAAATGTATATTAGGGCTCCTGAAAAATATTAAGCGTCTCTCGATTATTAACAGCAAGTTTTCCTTAATAACACTTCCTCAGTAGCGTAAACAACAAAAAGAAAAAGAACAACAAAAACATATTAAAACTATCTTATACATAAACATATGCATGCATTATGTCAACCTATGAAAACCGTACGTTGTTTAAAGTGCAAGTTTTTAAAAAGTATGTTGGTAAGGGTTAACACTCTTTTAATATCACATTCGCAAAGATCCAACAACTTTTTCTCTAACCTTCATCGAGTTTCTTTTAGAACTTCTCTCTCTTTTTTAATTAAATATTCCGCCCAATTCATAAAATATAATATGCTGTACATTTCTTTTTTACTATCTTTTTTGAAAATAGTTTCTACGAAAAATCCACAATTCACGGGATTCTGCAGCAGCAAAAACGTCCCCCTTTAGCTGATAGCGGACTGAAAAGTAAAAGATAGAACAAACAATAAGTGCAATTTATAGCAATATTGCATCCCAATTCATTTATATCACCTCTAATTTTCCTTTATAACCACATAATGTACAAAGTAGCTGCACTCTAACTTATTTATTTACGTAATGTAATTTTTTCGAAATAAACGCGAAATTAGTTCTCAATTCTAATGAAATTTTTTGTGGAATTAATAACAGCTTTTGTTGGAATGCTTCACATTCAAACGACAGTACTCATAATCTTTTTTATTCCGAGAGAAAGGGACAAGACAATTATAGGAAAAAACTTAGCATTAAATAAAATCTTATAAAATAATGAACAAATTACCTTTCGCTTAAATAGGATATAATTATGCCTGGATTTATAATTGTTGTTGCTTCGGCTATTTTTATTATTACAAGTAGCTGAGCTGATAGAGGAACCACGCACGTTTTTTGCTTGTTAAGAGCATATTGTGCGTTAGCCAACAAATCTTGAGACATTCGATATAAGTATGAAATTGAAGCTATATTTTTTGTTTTGTGCGGTTTTTAATTATTAATAAAATTTAATACAATTCATTCATTTGTTTTCTCATAATTCTTTTCCTTTTCTTGTAATGTTATAGCGCACGATCTTTTTTTTTTAACTTCGAAAGTAAATTTCTTTACCCATTTTACAGAATTTACGCAAACAAAACATTTCTTAATAATACTGCAAAAAAATTTTCTTGTTAAATATGTATATATTGTTAAAACTAAAGCAAATAAAATTTTCACAAAAAAATAAACTTTTTTCTTCAAATCACAGATGATTTTAATAAAATGATTAGGGGTGAGTTTTTTCCCGAAATTTGTTTCCTGTTTGTTATCGTTTCTTAT